GTTACATGACTTCCCATTATAAAGTAATTAGAGCATTTATAGGGTACTATAGGCACCATTAGGAAAGTGATTCTAGAGACTCTAACTTTGGGCTTTCTAGCAGTTAACCAAGGAGTCCTGATAAACCCTAGGTTTGGCTTCTTACTGCTGCTGCTGGGTTCTGGCAGAAGATCAGCCTTCAGTGGGAATTTGTGGAACTTTTATAGGCACTGTTACCGATGAGATCTGGGTCAGAGAATTCACTCTCTTACAAACCTTTATGATTCATAACATATACTATTAACTGGCCATATGATGCTATTGGTTTAATTTCCTGCAACAAGTGTGATTTGGAAAACACATGAGCTAGACATGAATATACAAATAAATAAAAATCAATGTCCTGGACCCCAAGAGCTCATAGTCTAGTAGGAGAAATGTATAATTATGGAACACTATGATGAATATTATCTTAAAAGCACAAAGTCTAGGAAATTTTAGGGTAGTTCTGTTTTGAGGGATCCAAAAAGGTCTAGAATTTGAATTAGATATGCAGTTTGAACTGGGTCTTAAAGGGTGAACAACAACTTAGAAAGCCAACAGAGTATAAGAAAGAGCAACAAGTGCCATGGTGGCTGGTTGGTAACCAGTGAGTTTGGGAAGGAAGGCTCAGCCTAGATCCTAAAAGGCCTAGAATATTTCCTGTTAAGAAGATTTGACATCTGTCATGGTGGCATCGCGGGTAAAGCCACTGCCTGCAATGCCGGCATCCAATGTGGGTGCTAGTTCATGTCCCAGCTGCTCCACTTCCAATCTAGCTCCTTGATAAGGGCCTGTGAAAGGCAGCAGAGAATGGCCTGAGTGTTTGGGCCCCTGCCACCCACGTGGGAGACCTGGAAGAAGCTCCTAGCTCCTGGCTTCAGCCTGGCACAACCCTGGCAGCTGTGGCCACCTGAAGAGCAAACCAACAGAAGGATGATCAACCTCTCTTTCCTATCCCTCTTTCTGTAACTCTGACTTTCAAATGGATAAATAAATCTTTGAAAAGGAAGAAGGAGGAAGAAGAGGAGATTGGGCATCATCTTTACACAAGACGATGATGAGCCATCAAAAGCTGCTGGGCAGACTAGGGCAACCAGAAAGCTTTTCTGACAAAGAGAGATTTCTTGGGATCTTGAGTGGCCAACAGATGAATAGGTATCTGGGTCTGGGCAGATTTGATGGCCCTGAATATTTAATTAAATGAATTTCCTAAACACAGAAAGTATGCTACATTTTAATGTGTTTCTCTCTCTCTCTTTCAGTTTCTCTATGGCAACTAATCTTAATTATCTCAGAACTCTGAGCTTAAGAAGATATCTCCCCTGTTTATCTTCAGAGGGAACAAGTCAAGAGTTTACTCTGAGTATTAAATGTGCATTTTTATAGGTTCAGGGCTTAATTAAATAGCATTGAAATCCATATGCAGGTTACTGAAAATGTAAGCACCTGAAATGATGGTGGAAAAAAATGTTTAGGAAGTTGCATTACCATTAAAAGAACAGAAAAGTCCTGTTACAACAACTCACTGTACCAAGTTTCTGTTAACTATGGATAAATTCATGTCCCTCAGGGTCTTGTAGCATTTTTCTTCATTACAAAGAAAATCTGTGGAGCAATATGATCCAGTCCACACCCTCATCCCTCCTGCCACCTCTTCATCCACCACACCATACACATAGGCATGTGCCTGCCACCCAACATCAGCATCATAGCCAGTGCTACCAGAGTGCTATATGGCAACATAGCCAGTACCACCACGCTGGTGTATGACATCATAGCCAGTGCCACCACACTGGTGTATGACATCATAACCAGTACTGCCACACTGGTGTATGACATCATAACCAGTACTGCCACACTGGTGTATGGTACCCCAAAAGTTTACAAACATGTCAACCCCAACGCACAGTAATTTTGGGTAAATATCCAGGATAGCAGGGCAACTGAAGAAGGAAACAGACCTGCTGAAGTGAAACAAAAGGAGCAAATCTGCTCCAAGGTCACAGCTGGTGGGATTTGGAGTGAGGCAGGAGACCGCTGAGGCTCAGCACAAGCTTGGGACAGCGTTTATGTAAAAGAATTCCCGTGCCAACATCGTGGCTCACTAGGCTAATCCTCCACCTGTGGTGCCAGCACCCTGGGTTCTAGTCCCGGTTGGGATGCCAGATTCTGTCCCGGTTGCTCCTTTTCCAGTCCAGCTCTCTGCTGTGGCCCAGGAGGGCAGTGGAGGATGGCCCAAGTCCTTGTGCCCTGCGCCCTCATGGGAGACCAGGAGAAGCACCTGGCTCCTGCCATCAGATCAGCGCAGTGTGCCGGCCGTAGCGGCCATTTGGGGGGTCAACCAAAGGAAAAAGGAAGACCTTTCTCTTTGTCTCTCTCTCTTTCTCATTGTCTAACTCTGCCTGTCAAAAAAAAAAAAAAGAATTCCCGTGGCAGACATCTGACTCGGGCAGATTAAACTGCCAGTTGAGAAGCCCACATCCCATAGCAGAGTACCTGGCTGGCATCCTGGCTCTGGTCTCCATTCCAGCTTCCTGCTAATGGGCACCCTGGGAGGCTGTTGGTGGTGGCTCAAGCACTTGTGCCCTGCCACCCATATCAGGGACCCTGAGTTCCAGGCACCTGGCTTCCACCTGGCCCAGCCCTGGCTGTTGCAAGCATTTGGAGAGTGAACCAAAAGATGGGTGCTTCTCTTTCATTCTCTCTCTGCCTTTCAAGTAAATAAACATTAAAAGAAGCTGCTCAGTTGGGGCCAAACTTACACATGGGGACCAGATGAGGGAACAGAACCCCACCAGCAGACCATGGTGCTGTCCCAAAAACTTTCTTAGCACTAAAAGCCTGACAAAGGGACAATAACCATGGGAAAGACATTTAGGAGGCAGTGTGTTTAGCAGCAAAGTATGCCTCCTCTGGAGACAAAAAGATGGGTCCACATGCCAGCTCTGTGGTTCAATAAGTGTGAGCAAGTTACTAAACCTTGCATTCCATTAACAACTCTTAGTGCAAGGTAGTGTTGTGAGAACCACGTAAGAGATAGTGAATGTTAAGTGCTTAGTGTCATGGTTGGCACTTGGTGAGACTCAAGAAGAGTGAGCTATGACATGCCAAACTCAATAAGCCCCCAAAACAAAATCATTATCTGTTCTTGCAAACCTATTTCTTCTGCATCTGTATTTTCCATCTACCTGATTTCACCCACTGACCACAATCAGGAGCCATTCTCAGTTCCATTCACACACCATCTGCCTTCTACTTTCCTGTGCCATCATCATCATCACAGCTAACGTTTCTGTGTTCTTGTGTGTGTGTGTGTGTGTGTGTGTGCGTTCTTTTAAGATTTATTTATTTACTTGAGAAGCAGAGTTACATACCGAGAGAGGGAGAGACAGAGAGAGAGATCTTCCAATTGCTGGTTCACTTCCCAAATGGCTGCAACAGCTGGAGCTAGGCCAATCCAAAGCCAGGAGCCAGGAGTTTCTTCCAGGTCTCTCATGGGGGTACAGAAGCCCAAGTTCTTGGGCCATCATTTTCTGCATTCCCAGGCCATCAGCAGGGAGCTGGATCAGAAGTGGAGCAGCCCAGGAGCCAGTGCTGTGGTGCCCCAGCCTACAGCACTGGCATTCCATATGAATGCCTGTTTGAGTCCCGGCTGCTCCACTTCCAATCCAGCTCTCTGCTAATGCACCTGGGAAAGCACTGGAGGATGGCACCCATGTGGGAGACCAGGAAAAAGCTCCTGGTTCCTGGCTTCGGAAAGACTTAGCTCTGGCTGTTGCAGCCATCTGGGGAGTAAACTAGCAGATGGAAGACCTCTGTGTGTGTGTGTGTGTGTGCCTGTGTGTGTGTCTCTACCTCTCTGTGTAATTCCGTCTTTCAAATAAATAAAATAAATCTTTGAAAAAGAAGAAGAAGTGGAGCACCTGGGACTTGAACTAGCACCCATATGGGATGCCAGCACCACAGGTGGATGCTTAACACCACAGTGCTTAACACCACAGTGCTGGCTCCATTTCTGTGTTCTTAAGATGGTACACCAAACACTTCAGACAATGGCCTTCTTTAACCAGGCAGGAAAACCCTTACCAGGTTGTCACTATCATCATCTCCATTTTCCACTGAGCAAAATGAGAGATAGATTGAGAAACTTCTGTAAGGTCCTCTAGCTATTAAGTGAGAGCACCAAGATCTTACAGATTGTCTGAGTCCAAAACCTATGTGCTTAACATTGCACTCCATCACTCCCCAATCAAGCTCCTGAACCCTCTGGATTCTCCTTTGGCTCAGTCCCCCATGGCCACCATCCTCTAGGATCAATGCACAGGTGACACAATGGGTTGTAGGATGATGCTTCAGGGCAATTATGGGGAGCTCTGAATGCCAGGCTCATGGGAAATTTGGCCAAAGAGAGCTGAACCTGAGAAGGGATGTCACTGAGTGGGGAGCAGCTCCATCAGGGAGGGTGGGCAGGAGGCTCAGAGACCAGGAAGGAGATTGAGCACCCCAGTCTAAGTGCAGGGTGCCAAGGGCATGAAATGAGGGAGCAGGAGTGGGAATGAAAAGAAAAGCTGGATGTGACAGACGTTACCTCACCAGGCACAAATACTCCCGAGGCTGGAACTTGGTTTAATAATTCTGTTACTAGGGCAACAGCAAAGAAAGAACCTGTCTCAGAGAAGAACCCAGAACGGCCCCAAGAAGCATGGGGTCTTGAAGCTGGAAAACAGAGTCGAAGACAAGTAATGAGGACTTCACATGGGCATTTTCTAACCTTTCACCTTTCACTATTTGGGGAGTAGAGACATTTGAAACAGGCTTCCTGGAAAGGAAGATAAAAAGACCCAGGAAGAAGAAGCTATTTGAGCCCCATGACAGATGAGCAACCCTGCCTCTGATACTTGGGCTTATCTAAGGACACTCAAACAGGGGCGGGGAATGCCTTCCCTACATCTATCATCTTGACGGTTCTTATGGAGAAGAATTCAGATGGACAACAGGCCTGGTAATGGAAGCAAATGCATTTGTCCCAAAGTTGACCGGGTATTTATGCCCAGTGGACCAGTTGCTCAGCTGTCTGCTTCCCTCCAACTTGGCACTATGGGAACCATGGCCAGGCCTTGAAGGTAACTTTCTCAGCCTGTCCAGGAGGGGCTTAGCCATGGGAGTAGATTCAGGAACCACAGATGAGGAGTACTACCTGCTTTTTACAAGATCTACAGTACAGTGAGCATTCTCCCTGTAAACACTCTGAGTCTCACTCCATTCATCCTTTAGTCTTTTCAGGAATATTGCAATAAGATAACTTTGTCACTGAATTTATCTAACAGCCATCCCATCAAGAAAAGGAGCAGCCTTTCAAAAATAGTAGGAATACATTGAGGCTTAGAGACTTTCTCACCAATCTCAGGATTTTTTTTTATTTGACAGATAGAGTTAGACAGTGAGAGAGACAGAGAAAGGTCTTCCTTCCCTTGGTTCACTCCCCAAATGGCCGCTATGGCCGGCGCTGCACCCATCCAAAGCCAGGAGCCAGGTGCTTCTTCCTGGTCTCCCATGCAGGTGCAGGGGCCCAAGCACTTGGGCCATCCTCCACTGCCCTCCCGGGCCACAGCAGAGAGCTGGACTGGAAGAGGAGCAACTGGGACTAGAACCGGTGCCCATATGGGATGCCAGTGCCACAGGTGAAGTATTAATCAAGTAAGCCACAGCGCAGGCCCAGCCTCAGGATTAATGCTACCCTTTTCAACTTCCAAACCAAACGCCAAGCTGCCCCCTCTCTATGTAACATCAAATAGAGATAATTCTAACATCAGTCTTTAACACTTGTATTCAAGGTTCTCACCTTAAATATCACATATTTTCTTGATAATCTATGAGAATACTAGAAGAGAGATAGGACTCAATTTCCTTCAGTCCTCCCCCAAGCTATGACCTCACAAGCCGATATGAGGTACAGATGCTGCCAAAAGGACCACCCAAAGTCTTCACTGCCCTAGAATTCCAGTTTTGAATATTGCTTTGAAGAGTAGAGTGGGGATGAGAGGGCACCCCAGTTTCAGAGAGATTTCCACCATGGTGACCATGTACTGTCAGGGCAGCAGTTTGCTCAGTGGTCACAGCATGTTCCTTATCACCTGGGAAAGAAGTCACCCTACAAGTGTGGCTGTATAGGGAATTCGAATCACGCCAGGCATGGATGGATCAACTCTTGCTCACTCTGCCACTCATTTTCTGAATGAGCTTGGGCAAGTTGTTTTTCCTTTAATTTTCTCACCTCAAAATTAGACTGAAGAAATCTCAAAGGTTAACATAAGAATTTAAAGCCTGAGAAATGTCATAGCCTTCTGAAAGACAAGAACCTCCAAAGTATAACCAGATCATGTTCAAAAAGTACACACACAGGGGTTTGATGCAGTCTGAAGTCAAGACGCCATTTTGTGCTAAGAAGGGGACAATTTAGTCCATGGAGCCAATAAAAGTGATAAGGTTTGTAAAGCACATGCATATGATGCAATGATACCATTCAGTAGGTAAAGGTTTATCCTCAAGAGCAAAACTTCCTAGACCAACTCATCACTCACTAGTTCTGAGACTTGGGCAAAGGGCACCTCTTAGAGATCCTGTTTCTCATTCATGGGACGAGAGTCACACTATGTGACTGGGTTGCCTGACCAAGGGCAAATAGGTGGTAGATGTCACAGACCTTAAATTACACGCAATCTTTGTTATAGACCCAGAACAGCAATCATCATCTCTGTCTTACCAAAGAACATAATATTCATAGATGCTGAGATGCACCCCCTTCAGTCACCCAGTGTAAATTCTTCTCATTCCAAAGTTCACACAACAGAGTTGTCTCTTCCACACTGAGATCTACAAGATACCTAGAAAGGGGGCCCATGTGCTCCTAAATCAATGGGTTCTGACAGGTGTCATTGTTGGCAGAGTCACAGTCTCAGTTTCAGGCATAATGACTACCACACATACACACCAGCCATGGACAGTCGTATACAAATTGGGTATAAGCTAGAAACATGATCCAATACCTCCCGTAAAAAATAGAATGTGATTTCCAAGCTTCCCCTTGGATTCCTCTGCATAATGAATGCTGCAGAAATGCACAATGTGAATGAAGCCTGAAAACAAAGGCTTCCGTTCCCTGGGGAATGGAACAAATTGGAGTGCTCTCCTCTGGCCTTTCCTGTGTAAGGTCCAGTCTCCCAAGGGGGAACTCCAGCTGCCTGAAGGGAAAAGATAAAAATAGTTGACACCAGCTGGTACCTAAAACAGATCCCTGTGCATACATAGACAGCTACATACACACATATTTGGCCGTTAGGCCTCAACCTTCCTGGCCTATTTTGGAACCTAGGCTGACATTCTTGTTCATTTTCATCTGCTTTCTATGAGACTCACCCCAAGTCCCACATGTGCTACAATGAATTTGTTGAAGAGAATCAAAGCAATGTCAAAAGTCTGAAATGAACTGGCTACCAACAGCAGCTCCTGCACCGAAGATTCTGAAATGTTAACATTCTTTAGATCTGAATCCACTATATCCCCTGCCTGGGGATAAAATAAAGTAAGCAGTGTATGTGTAACCTAGGTTGCTAACCACACACCAAGTCTGCCTTGAGCATGTTACAACTTCAGGTTTAAAGTTTTGATATGTGGTAATTGAACATATTTACATAGTATGTAGTGCAGTATTTGAATACAGGTATACAATGAATAGTGATCAGATCAAGGCCTATCACCTCAGACACTTGTCATTGCATTGAGAGCATTCCAAATCCCGTTAGCTACTCTGAAATAGTCCACTGTGGTCATCCACAGTGATCCTAGTGTGCCTCCTATTCAGCTGCACTCCTGTACCCATTAGCCATCTTCTCTCCATCCCTCCCTCCTCCACACCCTTCCCACTTTGTGGTTTCTAACTTAATGACAAGGCACATGCATTCCGTTTTGCTATTTCTCTCCTGGGCACATAAAAGTGTACCAAAATTAAATTTCCCTTAGCACTTGTACCCAGGCATTGGAGTGGAATGTTTACCAATTAACCTTTAAGGACCACTTACACTGTGCAAGTCCTGCCTAATTGTTTCACTCTCTGGCCCTGCTCTTTGGGTCTCGAAGCTGCAAGCTTTTGTACTCTCCCTTCACAGATGAATCGTGATGCCCTTAGAGAGCATCTGTCTTGTTTTACAGAAAGGAGGAAACTCTAGCATCTCGGCCATGTCCACTTGGTCCTATGTTGTCCTTCACTTTCCTTTTATGATACTAGGGTCAGTGCCCACCTGTCAGCAGAGAGATGTTTGGAGGCATACAGGCACCTGAGAGGAATCTTTAGGCTAGGAAGGCTGGGCCTTGATCAGATACTGCTAAAAATAGAAGCCTGCCCAAGACCAGACTCAGCCAGTGAGATTGCACTGATAGGAGGGGCCTCTATTGTGCTTGCCTGATACGCACCTGTCCTCCTGGAGGCTGGGCACCCCGGCCACCCGAGGGGCAGAGGTAGCTGATAAAACAGCTGCACATGCTACATGCAACCCTGCTGCAGCTGAAGCCACATGAGCAGCTCTCTGGGGACAGTGAATTCCATTTTTGTAGCTGTCCGACAAGTGAGGCCATACGGTGTGACGAGAAAGTGCAGGAAACTTGTCCTTTTGGCCCCCAAACACTCCCCCCGCCCCACTGCTTTACTGGGTGCTGCCCAGCACCTTCCCATTATGAAGGATTTTGGAAGTCCTAAGGTGACATGGAAATGAGGTAGTCCACCTCCCTCAACAGGTAGATGGGAAAAATTAAGTGCAGAGAAGTTAAGCTACTCACCCAAAGGCTAAGAGTCTACTCTGTAATTTCTCAAGGCAGGGCTTGTGAAATAGTGGTATCATAAGATGTCCTTTGATTGAAACACAATTCCTGCCAAGGTTCTAAGATCAGAGAGTTTAGGAAATGCTGCATTCTCTGTTCTTCTTTGTCTGGTTTTCTTATTCTCCAGCATCTACTTATTCAGTCTCACAATGGAAAACCTATCTTAGGGACCTGGTCTAACCTGGTAAAGCAGAAACTAGTCCATCAATGTTCAGACTTTGGGGCCAAAAAATACACAGCAACATAAAGCATAAGGAATATTCCTTGAGATTAACCATGCGTGAGGTTTTCTTCAGTGGCAAGGCTCCAGAGAGTGAGACTCGGCTGAGTGATGTCAGTCAATAACCTTGAGTATGATTTATTTATCTAAGACTTGTCTAAGGGAGAGCACTTATAATCTTATGACCAAGCAAGTGAGACCAAGCCTGAGGCTACTGTCCTGAGAAAATAAGTCTACATGGGGAGGCTGGAAATTAAATGAGGCAACCTGGAGATTCCAAATCTCTGAGGAACAAAGATGAGTCTGGAAGAAGGAGCGTGGTGTGAAAGAAAAGGCAGGAAGTCAGCAAAATCAGTCCGTGAGCTTTGACGTTTCGGCCAGTGATCCTCCTGCAAAGGAAACCCACAACACACAGCCCACTCCCAACAAAGCAGCCCAGTGACGCCCCCTGCTCAGGCAACACACCCTTGCCACAGCTCCCAGAGGACGTGGTTCACCTTTGAGATTAATTCTGTTCTGTGGCCTTTCTGTTCCAAATTTCTCTCCTGGGCAGTTCTGTAAGCCCTAAGGAGGAGCTTATTTTTTAATAGAATTTCTTTTTTAATGATGAGGGACGGGTGGTTTCCTTATCAATTCGATCCTGCTTTAATTAGCACAACTATCACTTGGGTCATTACCTTAAGTGTTTGAAATTTCTGCTTGAATAAGGTCACTTTCAATTTAGTAAACACCCCTAAGTCATCAGGTAATTCACCATCAGTCACCCAAGGAGTGCTGAGTAAGTCAGCATAAGCATTAGCTAACTAGCCACGAATGCACTTGACTTTATTAATTTCTCTCTTGGCAGAGAAGAAAAGGAAGCAAACTGTCAGAGACATTCATGCCTCATTCATTCAGTAAATAGTTTTTATATACCCAGTGCCCAGCACCATGCTAAGCTAAATACGGGTTCCATTATGTTATGACTGTTATGTTATGAAAGTTTTCAAGAATGAAATCCTATTTTCCCAGAAAGATAAAAATTTAACACCTGAAATGCTCTTTTTTCACTTCTGCCCAATGTGCCTTTCTCTTCCACCTCTTAAACTTCTAGATTCTCCACCTCTCCCTCCACAAGATTCACATCACCTGTCAACTGGTTAATGAACCCACACTCACAGTAGAAGCACTGGAGAGGCACTCACTATTTTAAAAGTCCTAGGAGAATACAAATGGTAAGAAATAGTTTCTGTTATCACACTCAGATTTTTTTTAACATACATATTTGGGTTTTGTTTTATGGGGAGTGTTCATACTCTTTCAAAAAGTACACATAGGAGGGTACTTCAAAAAAGTTCATGGAATTTAACTAAAAAGTTAAGTTTATTTTTGTGCCAATGGATCTTGCAATCAGTACACACCAAAGCTGCTCAAAAAGTTTGTGGAAAATGTGCACGATGAAAAAAGATTTCAAAATTGTCTTTGAAATAACAGAATAAACTTACTTAATCCCATTTTCCACAAAATTTAAAGACCCTTTGTGTGTCTTCCAAATGAAGACAGGGATATATCCAACCTAGGAATTAAATCTCAAGGATCCCACCCTTTGCTATCCAAGTAATACTGAGCAAATAAACAGAATCAAGAGTGAGCTAACTAGACACAAATCCACTTGAGTTTATTCAGTTTGAAAGGATGCACTCCCTTTCCCATCTCCTGATAACACCAAAAGAGAAAAAAAAAAAAAAAACAATAAAAGGCCCTCATCTAAATTCAATTACTCAAGAAAAAACCCACTCTGAGGACTGGCCTTAAGCAAGTCACTGCCTATCAGCCAAGGGCAGGGCATAGGGCTGGGGACTTCCCACGATCCCCCTGTGGCCAGACCAGCCTGATCCTCTCCTACACTTCCATGAGGCAAGCATTACCATGCATAGTAAACCCCACACGTGTCCCCCCCTGTGCACACATGCAGGCCCCTACGCACGAGGCCCCCTGCCAGGGGACAGCCCACTTACCGAAACACACCTAACACCCCCACAGCACCCAGAAGCAGAGGTGAGCAGTCTCTGCCTCAGCCAAGCTGCTCCTGAGGCCGCTGACATCACAATGGAGCCGACTGGCAACCTCATTGTCATGTGGCTCTCCCCTGGCTCCCCTTCACGGCAAGCGCAGGGCAAGGGTGAGACCTTTCAGAGCGGCCAAGTGGGCAGGCGTCCAGCAGCAGCCTGGGAGCTCCCGAGCGGCACAGCAGAGCCACCGAGCCGGCCGCCGGGGCATTGGGCCTCGCGTTTCAACTTCTGTTCAGTTCTCCTGTAATGGAAAATTGCTTTGCACAAAGCTAGAGTGTTACTGTTCTTTCCAGCGCCCCTCCCCTGCCCTGCCCCACCCTCGGCAGACTTCAGCTCAGAGGGACAGCGCCCGCAGGAAGGTGCAAGGAGGCTAGTCCTGGCTTCTTACTATGTCCCTTGCTTCAGGTCCCAGCCCCTGGTGGTTACTCTTCTCCTTTGGAATGGGGCTGGTGTCAGGGTCAAAGTGTCCAAATAATTGCCAGTGTCAAGCTCAAGAGGTGATCTGCACAGGGAAGCAATTAACGGAATACCCTCCCGACATACCCCTGAACACCCGGCGCCTATTCCTCAATGAGAACAGCATCACTAGTCTGCCAGCCATGCATCTGGGACTTCTCAGTGACCTTGTGTACTTGGACTGTCGGAACAACCGGATCCGAGAGCTGATGGACTACACCTTCATCGGGGTCTTCAGACTCATCTACCTTGACCTCAGCTCCAACAACCTAACCTCCATCTCCCCGTTCAGCTTCTCGGTGCTCAGCAACCTCGTACAGCTGAACATTGCCAATAACCCTCACCTGTTATCGCTGGACAAGTACACCTTTGCCAACACCAGCTCTCTGCGGTATCTGGACCTCAGGAACACTGGCTTGAAGACCTTGGACAGAGCTGCCTTCCACCACCTCACGGTCCTACAGACCCTGTATCTGAGTGGGAACCCCTGGAAGTGCAACTGCTCCTTCTTGGACTTCGCCATCTTCTTGATCGTGTCCCATCTGGACTACCCAGGTGAGGGCTTGCCTGGGCATGGGGAAGAGGAAGTGATGGATAGAGGAACTGGCTCCCAAAGAGGTATAAGTCAAAAGACAGGCAGGATGGGAGAAAAGCCCGGGTTAGACAGAATGCACACGCTTCCCTACTGCCCCGGGGGTCCACGTTGTCGCTGACTGGAGATGCCATAGGCTCTGTAAGATAGGAATCCAAAGAGCTGAGTTCGGGTCCTAAACTCGGCTGCTCTTGAGGAGGTCACCACTTCTCTGAGCCTCAGTTTCCTGATCCACAAATGGGGACAGTAACATTACCTAACACACAGAGCTGTCTTTCAAATAAAGTGATGTGTACAGATATGATAGAATCCTATAGCTGCAAAGGAACAAGGACAAGGACAAGGAACAAGACAAGGACTCGATGTTCCTTTGGTAAACTGTTGTAGTCTGCTTAATTCAGTGACTACATTCTTCCAGGATCTAAAAGTAACTTCAGTCGCATACAAACAGTGCAGGATCCAATGGGATTGTAAGTATAGAAGGGGAAGTTCAAATGAGATGGGAGGAGGGGCCTGGGAGCCATCTGGACAATGAGAGGGGAGAGGCGTGGGAGAAGAAAAAGCCTTTTGTTCTGTCCGTGCTGACCTCACCAGGAAGGAAAGAAGGGCACAAATCAGTGAACGGGTACACAGCTTGCTCCCTGGGTGGCAGCAGATTCTCAGGTCTTACTGGGAGATTCCCAGTCTAGCTGCTGCCACTCCATGCAGATCCCCCACCCCCTGGCCGTGGCCCCAGTGCCATCGTCTCTGTGCCTCATTCCCTCCTCTTCTTGGGGACGTCTCTGTCCCATCCTTTCCCCTCCAGTTCTCCCTGTCCACAAAAGCTCTTTCACCCGGGAAAATCAGAGCTGCAGAGAAATGGTAACTATGAGTGCCACTGCTAGAATCCAGCACACATGGACTTTGCAGAGAAAAGCACACCCTTCTAAAGCCTGTCTTCCCGCCCTTCCTTGGGTGCATGCTTTCACAGAACCAGCTGCAGGGTCATCCTGCGAAGCTTCCCCCCTGAAGTCCCACCCACGTGACAATATCCTAAGAATATTCCTGCCAAAGTGACAGACCTCAAGGGAAACTGAGAGAGAGGGAACAGGGTGGTGACTGGGAGTGAAAATGTGCCCGCTGGGCCTCCCAGGGTGCCCCTCTTAGATCTTTCAGCAGAGCTGGGCTAGGTGATGCAAGCAAGACTCAGGGATGCAAAATTTAAGGAGGTGCACAGAATTTATGCCCTGAGAATGAGCACACTGAGGATAAGAGCCTCCTTAAATTTTGTACTCTTAGTACCTTGCCCTGCTGCCACACAATTTTTTTTCAAACTTTTATTTAATAAATATGTTTCAAAAGTACAACTTTTGGATTATAGCGGTTTTCCCCCCATAACCACCCTCCCGCCCGCAAACCATCCCTTTTGAGTGATTATAATAAATCAAAAGGAACTAGCTTTGTCAGACATCTTCTTTTATTTAAGATTCGTTTATTTTATTTGGAAGGTAAAGTGAGAGAGAGAGAGAGAGAGAGAGAGAGAGAGAGAGCATCCATCTGCTGGTTCACTCCCCGAATGGCCGCAATGACTGGGGATGTGCCAGACCTGGAGCACTCGTGCCTCCCAATTGGGTGGCAGGGGCCCAAGTACTTGGGCCATCTTCTGCAGCCTTGCCTTCCCAGGTTCATTAGCAGGGAGCTGGATCGGAAGTGGGGCAGCTGGGACTAGAACTGGTGCCCACATGGGATGCTAGTGACACAGACAGTGGCTTAACCCACTGTGCCACAACACTGGCCCTCAGACATCCTCTTAACAGTCCTAATCACAAAAGGAGACAAGAGCAGTCATCTTGGATGGGTTTCCCTGCCTGTCTGGCTCCCATTTCTGGGAGCCAGAGATGTCTTCTACTTTTCTCCATAACTGGTGCTGTGAGAGTTTCTAGAAAGTTCCCTACAGAAGGGTTCAAATTATTCACTCCCACGTAATAAATGTGGTTCCTGAACGGGACTCCAGCCATCAGTGTTCATGTAACTGGCCTGTGGAAGGACCTCACATTCTCTCGCCCCCCTAATTACACATACACACATCTTCCCAAAGTTCGTCAGGTACCAGGGCGACCTCCTCCTTCACTGAGCAGAGTGAACTTGCCTGGCCTGTACCCCAGCCCTTAAGCCAACCACTTTGCCCCCGACCTATTCTCTCATAATCACATTTCTGCTTGTACAGGTGTGTCTTTTTGAATTTTCGGGTTGCCTACTTTGCATTTCTTCACTCTTTAGTACAATGCATAAGTGGATAGGATCATAAACCAAGTCTATTTCACCACATGTTTCCAAGGACATCTAAAGGAAGCATCTATTTGGACAAGACCACAAGCTCCTCAGAAATTAAGTCTGTCTTTTGAGGTAGACAGAGTTCTCATGTACTGGCCAGGGGCATCCCACACAGGCACCCACAACTGTTACTCTGCTCATCCCTCTGCTGTTTGGTAGCCCGGGGAATACTTCATGCAGAAATATGGTCTCATTGTTCCACGTTACTATTGTTTTCTAGCCCTAAGTCAGACATAAGAACAATCTAATTTGTACAGAGCTTTGCACCTGGGGAGTATTCTTTCTTTTTTTTTAATATTTATGTATTTATTCATACAAAAGACAGAGAGAGAGAGACAGGGAGAGATCTTCATCTGCTGGTTCACTCCCCAAATGGCAACAACAGCCAGGGCTGGGCCAGGCTGAAGCCATGAGCCAGAAGCTTCTTTTGGGGCTCCCATGTGGGTACAGGGTCCCAAGCACTTGGGCCATCCTCCGCTGCTCTCCCAGGCCATTAGCAGGGAGCTGGATTGGAAGTGGAACAGCTCAAACCAGTGCCTATATGAGATCCAGCATTGCAGGTGGCAGCTTAACCTGTTGTGCCACAATGCCAGGTCTGGGGAGTATTTTTTCACTGAGGGTATCTCATTTTCTTTTCAGTATTATACCAGTTCTTAAATGGTGTGCCCTCAACTGGTGGAAGAGGCCAGGATTAGTATTTTTAACCCTATCTTTGGATGAAAAAAAGAGTTTGACTTTCCTAAAAATCACATAGGTGGTAAAAGGCAAGAAAATTATTTGATTTCAAATCCAGGTCTTTCTGTGAAACTATACTTTCTCTTAAATCATCACATCACATGGTAACTATTATCCTAGAAATCATTTTAGTTATAAATATAAGTCATGCTATAAGCATATGACCACAATATCTGAGCCTCAGCTTTATCCCCTATCTTGCTACCACTCGGACTTCACCCAAGTTCATTTTCATTGGTTAATAAGCACTAACCATCACAAATTCATTTTGGTATACCTGCACTTCCCTTGAAAATCCAGGTTTCACCCAAATCCACACAAACAAAAGGATGAATCTGATCTCAGTGTTTGCTCTCATTTGGCCCTACTCAGCCTGGTTTACCCTTCTCATACACACATATAATCACAAACATGCACACAAACACACATACATACACATACATATGAACAAATACGAAGAAATACTTGCATATACATACCATCTGCACACACATACCTGCCCACATATTGCATGCACACACCATATGTACACACATAAATGTACACAAACACACCTACTTACACATAAAGTTGAACACACACTGTAATATTCACCTAATCCTTCTCTTGTCCTTTAACCAAATCTCAATATAAGCAAAGATATTTATTTTATTTGAATCTCGCATGATGATTCATGGTCCCTGCTAAGTGGAAATATCTTTGCTATTGACAAGCACTCTTGATGAAATCTCAACCTTAAGTTCACTGTTTTATACTGCATGTGCTATCAACATGAGAATCTTTGACTTGTTCTAGTACGAGCCCACACATTTCTCCCCAAGTGCCCACATTTCAGGAAATAGGGAGAATTTCTATGAAATAAGCTGAGAGTGATCTAGCTTTTCATAAAGCATGACCCAACTTACAAATAGGTTCATTTTAGATTTACAAAGATAGCAAAGCTTTGCATTGGGAGATTTTATGTGTGGTGCTTTATGAGGGGCCTTCAAGTATTCGTGGAACCTGAAGAGCAGTGTGACAATGGAATCCATATATATCTCTTTTGACAAGCAAGGCTTGGTTAAGTAAGGGAAGTCCACGATACCACTCAATTCACCTGTTCGTCCATTTAAATAGTAATTGAGTGCCTATTATGTGCCAAGCACGTGCTCATGAAGCTAAGTAAGAATTCTGGGCCTGAGTATGGAGACTCACGTGACTCTGGGTTATCTATACCACATGTATCCCTTGTCCATTCAGGCATAGCAGACTCAACAAGACAGGATAAAAGAGGCCTTTGTGTGCCTGTTGTGGGACAGCCTCAGCTACAGGTGACAAAGGACAGACACTGTGCCGGCAGCAGGACCCAGTGTGAAGAGCTCAATTTCTGGAGTGAAGTAGACTTGAGTTATAATCCTGGCCATGCCACTTACAATTTATAGAATATCTGTTGAGTTTACTTAGCCTCTCTGAACTTGAATTTCCTCATCTGTAAAAGAGAGATAATGATAGAACCAACTTCCTTAGAGCTGTCATAAGGATGAAATAAAAATACTTATGAACTGCTGTTAGCATTAAGTTTGACATACCATACCATTCAATAAGCAAATGGTTGGTATATATATAAAAAAATAAGAGATCAAGAAAATAGTAGCAAACATGTACACAACCCAGAAAAGCGAGGGACTTCAGAAATTCTCCACACGTGTGGTATTAGGGGAAAGTGTATCCTAAGAGACATAACTGAAGAGATATAGATTGGGTGTGGGAAGATGGACAGCAAGTCCTAGGATGGTAATCCCTGAGAAAGTGAGACAAGGGGACTCCTGGAGGAAGTTTAGTATTAGTTTATGAACACAGGGTTCATAAAAAGATGCTGGAGAACCAAGCAAACTAGAAGCCCAAGTCAATTCTTGGCCTCAGCCTAAGCCATGAG